GATAAATTCAAGGTGGGTCATTCGGTCATCATGGATCACCATGGGCCAGTGCATATCACCATAGGTCGCCATGGGTCACTAAATCTGATTGGGTCACTACGTGCCACTTAGGGTAACTAAAGGCACTGAGCCCCTTGCGAGCCGGCAGGAATTAGCGCCGAGCCTTATCTCTGTGGCCCCTCCAGTTGCGGAACAGCCGCACCGGTTTCATCGTGGGACGCGATTAGGCGGGAAATGGCCATCTTCTGGTGGAGAGCTTTGCTACGCAAAACAGACGTCACGTCCTGGAACGGTCCAGTCCTTTCAGCTTAAGACTTGGTACCTTCCAATTGGAAGCTAAATTTAATCACTAAAGAGTAAGTGACCTAGTCAAAGTTCGAAGAAGGTTTAAATTTTTCTGATTATGAAGTTTTCTGCTAAGATTACAGCTTGAGAACTGCATCATCCTATGGATGATGCAGTTCTCAAGCTGTTTCTCAATAAGCAATACTATCAAGGCTGTGGACCTAGAACCGCGAAGGGACATGACTGATACAAAATATAACATGGTCCCAAAACTGTTCGCAGTAACTGCAAAATACATAAAAGCAAGTATGTAAGTCATATCTCTGACGCAGAGCAACGAGCATTCATCAAAATCTGCGTGCTTCAAGACTGAGTGACTGGGGTTTTTAATTGTTCAAAATTCATGGCTGAAACGCACAGATACAAGGAGTGCGACGTCTGAAGCTCAGAAGGTTACTGATGAAATTGACGTCGACTACATATGTGATTGTGCACAATGTTCCCATGCTCGAACAAGCGCAGATAATTATGAGACAACCTAAAATATTTTGAGAGCTTCAAAACCTTAAAACAAAAAGTTAACGTCACTTAAAATCTTGTTCCTGTTCCGTTTCACTCAACTTTAATCTCAGTTTAATTTTTTTATTTATTCATTTTTTCGTGCTGAATGTTGCATCTTCGTCTTCAGTAAATTTCCAAGTCACATTCGATGTTTGAGACGTAATGGTTAACTGTCACACAGGACGCCCGCCAATTTTAAAATCAAGCTGAACAAATATATAAAATATTCCATGATATTGCCCTTTCTTACAACATTTACGAAGTCGTTCCACGTTATGCGTCACATGCTCCAGGAGAGGGGGTAATTATTATGCAGCGCCCTGTAATACCACTTTCATACGTAGCACAAACTTCTCTTAGAAGAGTGCTGTTCGGAAAGTTTTTCGCCAAGCTGAGTGACGTCAGCCGAGTAACGCCAAGCGAATTCGTCCACCGTGTGCTTTGGCGTCTGCACATGGAGGAAGGCTTCGAAAGGACGGTTGTCTTTGGAAGAGCGCAGCAAGGTAATATTTTCTGAAGCTAAAGGTGTTTCTAAAACTATGAGGAACATTTTTGAAGTGGATAAAAGTTATGTTGTTATAATGTATAAAATACGTGGACGAGGCTGATCTTTTTTATTCAACACATTTTCATTTACGTGCCTCTGGGACAAGAAGAAGTGGTTCATTATGAGAACTTTCTGAGTGACCTTGTCCTGTTGCTGTAACCGTCTACTCTTCTCCATTCTTGTTAATGTTTGCCCGTGAGGCCAGCGTACATCCCTGGAACATCCCGTGTCAATGATAAGATGTTATAACATCCCAGGAATGTCTAGAATAATTGATGTCCTGTTGATATCAATTTGTTCCTCCCAGCAGGGCCGGCCCTAGCTATTTCGGCGCCCTGTGCGAAGAGACTCCTCCCAACGCCCCACCGGAAGGAAGAGGGGTTAATACCTAGCTTCCGAAATGACGCTGAAACGGCAGGCATTTCCACTTTCTGAAGTAAAACTGAGGGTGGCATCAATTAGTGCGTCATACATTCAGTCGCGTTTTGGCGCCCCTGATGAATTTGTGCCCTGTGCGGGGGCACATGCCTAAGGCCAGCCCTGCCTCCCAGAAATGTTTCTGTAACGCATCTGTTTGACGCACATTCATGCTTATTTTACGTTTCAGTACATCCTAAATTCGTCGACAAGAGAATATGACCTCCAAGATGTGTTCTTTACCGACTTTTGTGACAAAAATGTTCTCAAGATTGAGTGGTGGAATGGAGTTTTCGACGATACGACGATACGACACGACGTCACGAGTTTCGATGCAACATGGCTGCTGTCTTTAACTCAGCTTGATTTTTGATAAGCCGTTTTGCAACTATACGTGTTTCGGCGCTGCGCGCTTTCGAAGTCACTTTTTCGATCTTACACGATGGAACTTTTCGATCGAATGTGGCTTCGATGATACGAGATTCGACGTTGCATAGCACTATCAAACATCGTAGGATACAAATGCGCACAATATGCAGCGTTGAACTTGGGACATTTGAAGAAAAGGTGGTCCACTATGATCGCAGTTAGGCATTCAACGGTGGTCTAAGGAATCTTGAAAGCATCATTGTGGCGAAGGAACCAGATGAAGTCGTACAGTGAGCAAAACATTTCACATAACCACAAATGAGCACTCCATTGAAGTTAAATCCTTGCGGCTGCTTTCCTCCCTGAGGAACAAAAGGGGAACTAGAAGTACCATTCGCCTCAACAGATGTCGTTAGAGTCCAGCCTAGATGCAGTTTATCATAGTGGTGGCAGGGGTTATTGATCCCCTCTTCCCCCTATTCAAGGACGCATGAGAGAAAGGCAGGGGGCATGAACGCGCAGCTGCGTGATGCAGACGAGCTCTTAGGGCCATTCCTCGAAGTGGAAAGAAGTATACGGAACGGCCCCATGCATTGATGTAGTCTCAGTCAGTCCTTTCACCTCGACTCCCCCCCCCCCCTCCTCTTCACTTTCCCCTTATATCCATTAAATTTCCCACTTCCGTAAAGCATCGTGTCCCCCGCTTCTTTGCCTCGTCTGGAAAATTTGGATGTGCGAAGATTAATTCTGACGAGCTTCGAAATTCCTGTACCACGATGAAACAAGGAATTCCAAGAAACTGTCATTACCGGGGTTCCAGTCTTGTAAAGGCCAAGGTTCTCATGCGATTATTCGAAAAATATCATTCTAGTTCTTTCAATGATGCTCTTTTTTATCCGTTTTCTCGAGGATTGATGAATGACTGGTTTGCGTCACTACCGCGGTAGTTGGAATTTATGGCAGGTACGATGGTGAGAAGCATGAAAGCGAGGAAAAGCAAGGCGGAGGGGGAGGAGAAAAAAAAAAACAAGGGCTGGAGAACAGCGACCTCTGGGATTGATTTGGCGGGAAAAGCTTGCGCGCGCATCAGGCGGGTACAGCCCCATCTCTCTTTTGATCCGGATGCCGGTGAGGTTGGTTGTGTGCTAATTCGCCCTCCGATTTTCTCACGATTTTCATCTGCAAACTTCACCTTATATCAAAGGAGATAATGGCTGCTACCGCAGAAAACGTCATGTGAGTGAATGGCCTCACGTTCATTTGCGTTATGCCTTGCACTTTTGATAGGCCGACAGCTAAACCTAGGCTAAGCTTGGACGATCGGATTGGCATAGGGATAGTCGGCTGGAGTGGCAGAAGTAAGACCCCGATGGAGACGTTCCCATTTACCGTTTGAGTGGTATGATGGGTCGTTCGGTCATTCCAGTTGTCCGGACTCGCTGATTTTTCAGGCTTCCTATCTAACAACGATTTATTCGACTTAAGTCAGCTGTCGACACGAATGGCGTCCGGTTCACGTGAAGGCCAAAGACAGATTGATTGTTATGATTGTTATGTTCCCTCTACTAGATAGAATAAGTAGTTCCTAATTAAAAGGAAAAATTTGCTAATGCTTTGAAAATGAGTAACTGGGGGCTGAATGCATCAGTCAGGATAGACCATAGGGTGTAGGCATATTGAGAACTTAAGTTGGAAGTAGGCCGCTGTGCTCGTGGCATACTTAACCATTTCGTGCATGAATTTTTAAAAGCAAAGTAAAATGTTTATTTTTTTCAGTAGTTTTTTTGGTTTAATGATTTTACTTGTTACATTTTTAACTAACATGCTCCTTTATTATCTCAAGGATTTGATCATGCACCCTCTGAATAGATACATATTTTTTATATAAAGACTTAACCATTGAGTGCTTGTTTATTATTGAATTTAGTTGAAAAATGTTCACTGATCTTGTGATAATGGGAAGATGGCTTTTGGCATAGCTGAGTTTCAGCATCCTGTTGACAGTGGTATGAATTTTGCCTTCAAGTTGCCAAGTATTGCCTGACAGTTGGGTAGTGCAGTTGAGACTAGTACTGGCTTGTAGATGTAGCCATAGGCCTACAATCTACAAACCTAATACCCCAGTAGGCCAGGGGTCTGGATTAACTCCAAACATAGAATTTCTCAGAAAAAATATGCTCTACTTGCATGGAATATATATTTCAAACTTCTGAACTTGTGGTACAAATTCCTAACCTTATATAAAGGTGTTGCAAAACTTGAAACACTATGCTTGAGAAGCTGAGGCATGAGTTGAAGGCTTCTTCTAGACAATATTTTGGACAGCTTTACTGATTCCTTTTTCAGTACATCTGAGGAACAGACCTCACCACAGAAGCAGTCACCTGTTAAGAAGGTTTTAGATGAAGTGACAAATGGTGCAGAAGTGAAAAGCATGGTGGAGCAGGCTGCTGAGGAAGCTGGCCTCAAATCCACAGAGAATGGTTCATCTGAAAATGGTGACAGCAATTCCGTGAATGGAACCACTGAAGGTGAGGAAGCTAGTTTAGTCCTCTTTCTCTCTTGCACACATATTGGTTACACAGAGCAGGGGTTGTGCAAAGTTTCTTGTCTTGGCCTCCTGCCCATGCATCCTGGGGGTCCTAGGACCCCCAGGATGCACAGACAAAAGGCCTAAGACTCCTGGATTGAATATCATACTACTTGATTGTTAAGTTTGCAAATAAACATGGATTGCTAGACTTTTACTTTTGGGGAACCCTTCAAGAATCCCTCATGCTTCACTTGGAAAGTAACCCCCTTAATTATCGGGACCCTTCCATTTCAGACCTGAGGGTTCTGGGGACTTCTATGGCTAGAAACCTAGTGCAACCACTGGCAGAGAAAGTTATGGCTTTAATTGAGTGACTTTCAGATCATATAAAAATTTTCATTGCATTGTTGGATATCCTACTGTTTTCCTCAGTATGTGTTTTCACTTGCATTTCAAGTGTCATTATTAGGCCAAAATATGGTGGTGGCAATTGAATGAAACTTAAGGTGTGGATTTTTGAACAGCACTATCAGATAATGCAGCTTTATATACCAGATTTATAATGCATTTTCTCTTAAATAAAGCTGCATTATTGGATAGTGTTCTTTTCAAAAATCCACCCTTAGCCTTCATTGTGCTGGCCAGGCAAGTGAAAATGTGGAAATTTTTGGTGAATATGCTGACCCAGACTCAATTCAGAAGACTCATAGTCTATACTAGTTTGAACATAATACATCTAGTGCTGATAAAACTTCTGAAAGAATTTTAGAATCTGTGTTTTAAACAATGATACACAAGCTCTAAATTTTTTGACACAGAGGAGCATGCTGAGAAAGACAGTGAAGCAACCAAGAGAAAGTCGGAGAATGGATCTGGAGATGCTCCTTCAGATGATCAGCAAGAACCCAGCCCTGCCAAGAAGGCCAAAGTTGATGATGAAGCTGAGGAATCATCAGAATCGGCACAGGAACCCACTGAAGCTACTGCTTAAGAAGGAACATCACTGGGACTCCTGAACCTTTGGCAACGGTTGTTTGTATCCAGTGCGAATTGTATCATCGATCATTCCAGTTGTGTGTCGGATGTCCATCTCCCTCCAGTACCAAAAAGTGCATGCTGGAGGAAAACAGGACTGAGGAGCACAGATGACCTTGATCAGTTCATAAGAGGATGATTCTCTCCAAGAGAGGTTGGATGACACTTTTTTTCTGTCTTCAATTTTCTTCTCTGTCTTTTGGAGTCTTTGTAGGACATCTCTGGTTGTTGCTGGGTGTACCTGTACAGACTTATTTATGTGCTAAGGTCCAAATCGTCATCACAAATGCAATATCAAGTAGTTGCCCATCTGTAACTTTTACCTTGTGAAACCTTGCATAATTTTTGACTAGTCTCATTAGAAATATTGATTCCATGCAATTAATGCCCTGTTTTGTAAGCCTCTTCAGTATGGAGTTGGCTTACTTCAATCTATGTGTTGCTGGATGTATCGATGTTCAAACCCCCTCCCCCTTGGGTACTGGATTTGAGATAGACTGGATTTCAGTGGGAAGGAAATGAAAAACCTGGTTTTAAGGAAACGGAGTGGTGTTTCATTTTGGTTTGTTTGAGTCGAGTCTAAGCGAGTGCGGCCCGGGACAGACGGGCGAATATGGCTTTCCTCGCAGCCGGCGCCCTTGCCTTTGTTTCCGACGGGGTAGATGTCCTATGCCGGCATACAGACAGCTAGCCTCCAGCCTCCAGCTGCAGCCTTGCGTGCCACTTTCACCCCTTGTCCAAGGACGAATACCGGAGTCTGCCTTCAAATGCCCGGCATTTCCCCCCTCACTTGCCTCGTAATATCTCTTTCTACGCTTTCCGAAATCGCAAAGATTTTTTTTTTTGTTGTCTCGGAGTAACTTATGATTGAGTGAAGTACCGCTTGTTTATATGGATGGTTACCAGTGAAAGGTGGAGCAACGAGGTGGCTGTGTAGTAGGCGAGGTGAATGGCCATCAGTAAGAAAGGAGCAGAGTCTCTTTTTGTTCCGTCGCAAGCATCCCAGATCTTACTGCCGGTATACTTTTCAACCTTTCGTCTTTCCATTAGTAGAGGCTCCGTGTGAAATTTTTAAAAATAGTATCTGACTTAGTGTCCCCCGTCGACCCCGCCACATTCTGAAGTTGAGGATGACTTTTTATATATTTATTTTTAAACTGCAGAGACTATAAGGCTCGGTTATACCTAATACTAAAGAATCGTAGTTGCACATCTTCCCGTCACCTTCACGACCCACGTTGGAGCACTAAATTTTGTACACTTCCGAATGGTCAAGAGTCCCAAGTTCCAATTAAAACAGTGCAATTATGAAGGGGTGAAGATAGGTGTTTGGGGGATTGCTTCTTTTAGGAATTGAGTACATTCAATGATGTCGAAAAAACTATTTGGACAACTACAGGGTGTATGGGAAGTCACTACATGTTTTTAAATTGTAATAACTAGTAATTTATTTTTTAACCAGAACAATGGGTTTTATGCCAAAAGAAAGAGAATTCTATAGGGTTTTATGATTGAATATATATGTATTTTTTATTGCATTAAGCCTCCATGGTGCCAAAAATGAATATTTGACACAGTGCGTAAATAGCTGCACGGTATGAAGTGTGGAGGCGGAGAAGATGGGAACCTGCATCCAAGACATTCTCCTTCCACCACCACCTCTGGACCATGACGAAGGGCCACGGTATGAGATGTGGAGGTCCTCCATCATAGTCCAGAGGTGGCGGTGGAAGGAGAATGCCTTGAATGCAATTACCCATCGCCTCCACACTTCATACCGTGCAGTTATTTGCGCACGATGTCGAAGATTCAATTTTGGCACAATCAAGGGTTAATGCAAACAATAAAAAAGTCAATTCAATAATAAAACCCTATCGAATTCTCTTTCTTTTGACACAAAACCATTGTTCTAATCCAAAAATGACAAAAGTTATTACAATTTAAAAATATGTAGTGACTTCCCATACACCCTCTAGATTACCGATGAACTCCCCTTGATGGCTTTCGAAGGTTCAAGTCTGGATATGTGAATACGAAAGCATGAAACTGTCAGTGGCGACTTCCCCTGCCAAGGGACGACGACGATACTTTTTAAAAACCTCCGGAAACAGCAGCTGAATTCCATGCTCCATTACCGCAACACATTAGCAATGTGCTGTAGTACGGGTTTCCATTGAGGAGGAACCGGCCAACCTCTCAACTCAACGGTCCTTCTGATGTGTGCATGCAGTAAAGAAATGAACATTGAAAATAAGGGATTTATGAACCAGTTCTACAGTGTATGTGACCCGTGGGAATCTCGAACTGGGCACGAATAGAGCTTAGATTGTATCGAATTTTGATAGCTCTACATTCATGCCAATTTTTATGCTGTTGCTCTCAACCCTTCAAGAGTCGACGGTGTTCAAAGGATGCAGAATTCATGACCTTAGTTCTCAGTTTTCAGCATGAAGTGGACCGTTTCCATTGGTTTGGAAGCTTCACTTTTTTTTTCTGTTGAGCAAGTTTCGTCGTAAAAGTAAAAAACATGACTTTTTTTCTAATTTTTTCTATGTGTAGTAATTTTTTGGACTCATCTGATTTTAATCGCAAACCGACACTCATGTACACCTACGAAAACATATTGCTGGATAATACTTTTTTGAAAACTACTTACTTGACCTGCGAGGCGCAACTCCTGTGCTCAAGGACGTTGAAATTTCATGTTTGAAAATTCATGATCAGCAAATTACCATGAATTTTTTAAAGTACGAAATCGAGTCTGAGGAACGTTAAATTGAAAAAGCGGCCTTTTTATTATTGAGAGTGACTCCTTTAGCTAATTCTAGTGGACTGAACTAGACATGACATGCCAGTCCACTTGTCATGCATTGGCGATGTTTTGAGTTCCTAACAATGGCAACACTAGTAAGTATTGAATCCACCCAGAACAAATTATTCATGCTTCGACAACGCAACTGGGGTGTCCCTTTTAAGCGCCGTCATGATTGAAGAAAGTACTGACGAACCACGCCAATTAAAAATCGACAGGCAGCTTTATGTAAAAAATTAACTGGCCCCGTCCAACAACCAAGGTACCGACGAACTCGTCTCGGCTTCTGTTTCTGTTACATGTAGCAATTAGACTGCTTGAAATGGTACATGCCGTACTGAAAAGTGTTTTCAGTGAATCAGTAAATCTCAACAAACGAGCATTGCTAAGCATTGCTTGTTTTGGCACGTATGACTTACCAAGTGCTAAAAATACTCAAGAATACTTGAAAAATGGAAAGCATTCTCCATTCGTGAGAGGACTTTGATATGGGGCGCGTATAATTTTCATTGTATTAGTCATCTGGGCCCATACAAATATATACACTGTAAAACCAATGGCATACATGAATACACTGAAAAAGTTTCTGCATTTCATGTTATTGCCACTTCTTGTGAGCTGGATGACAATGACAGACATAAGTTGTTTCAACTGGTCGAGAAACTGCTAAATTTGAAGCAGGCTTTCATGTCTATGCTAAGTTGCAATACTGATTTCTTGAGGGCAAATGCATCATTTTGAATCCTGGACTGCATGAACAGAGAGGATATATCTGCATTCCATTCTTAACTGATCAAATCTATTATTTGCGAACTAGTGTCCCGTGAATTACCTTATAAATGTCTCATAAGGAAATCTGAGGTTTGAAAGTTAAAAAAATATTTCTAGGGAGGTCATGACACATTATGGTTCTCAGTGATTTTGCCTTCTTGGGCTATCCTTCCGCCTACGAGGACACTGTTACCTTGTTTTTGCCGGATCCCACACGTTTCTTACGTTGTATCTTATCAGATTTTGAAACTGCAAATCCTAGGAGACACAAACGTAAAATGTATGCTTGTTCCATTTTATTGTCCATTTTACAATCTCTCGCATCCTATGCTATGGAACTGTAGCGGATGGAGTAACATGCAAGTAAAAAGAATAGTGGGATTATGGAGTGTGAGCCGTAAGGTAGAGAGGAGAACGGAGGGTGGAGGACCGGCCGGCTGCTGCAAAATCCCCTGGGGCTTGTGTCAGGGTTCGTCGAGCAAGCATGACTCTTCACGACCGACCCCTCCTTCAATGGGACAAGGGAAAAAGAAATAAGAGGGAAGAACCCAAGAAGAGCAGGAGTACTCCAGTAGGAGGGCAGGATGAGCATGCAATAACCACACCATCTCGAGGACAGTCTTCCAGGAACTTGAACTTTCATCTCTCCAGCCTCCTTGATCCTCCGAAGTTCTAGCGAGAAACTTCGACGACTTCACTGTTCTTGTGCTTTGAAATTTATCCTTTTCTAAGGTCCCTTTAAATGCATGTGTGAAATCCAGTTGTATAGTGTATAATTCCAAAAAGTGAAAGGATAAATGAGGGCGTAACTAGTAGACATATAGGCTTTATGCTACAGCGACCAAACTGATTTCCGCGAGAGAAAGTGCTTGTACATTCTGCTTCTTTATTGCTGTCCAATGGAACATGGCCCAACTGACTACTTGTTTTGGAAGCAAAATTCCATTCGACCCTCTTTCTCCTCGTGCATGAGGAGGCAGAAGAATATCATTAATTTTTTTTCTCTCTTTCTTTTTGCGTCATCTGCGAGATCATTTATTATTGCCAATGCCTGTTTCAACGGTGTCCGACTTCGTGGTGAATATTTGGGGGGGGGGGGGGTTCCTTTTGTTTTCTGGTATATTTCTTCCTTCTCAAAAAGAGTCGTTCTCAAGCATATTTTTAAATTCTAATTTTAAAAAAGATTTGCAGCTTGGGGACAGTGGATCGAATCAAGACATGAACTGAAGATTCCTGCGAAGGATTGCGGGGGAGGTGGAATACAGGCGATGGGTGACATGCACCAGGTCCGTCTAACTTTAAACTGATTTTATTTCATCATGGGCGTCTGTGGGAATAAGATTATCTCCGTCAAACCGATTCCCATAGGGTACCATTATTAAATCAGACTAGTTAAAGTTTAATCGATTTGGTACATGTCACCCGTATGGACAAATGTTCCGGCCCCCCTTTTTACATCTGAGATGTTCATCCCGTCGGTGTGGTCAAGGAGAATTCAGGTCTTATGAGGATTCAAATGCACATTGCTCGGAAACGGAGCACGCTTACACGAGTCTTAGAGTAGGGGGGAACAAAAGGGGGCTTGATGATGGAAAGACGAGCAAATATTTGCCACACGACGACAAATGCCATTCAAGGAGGAAGGACCAGTTTTGCAATAATTTCCCGAGTAGTACAGAGATGTACGTGCACCTATCATCAGTGAAAGGTCAAAAGTGTATGAGTTATATTTTTGGGATTCTGCAGGTGCTGTTTTTGGCATGGGTTGAAGAAAGTCGCTCTGCGTCGACCGCCTTCTCTTTTCCCCTGGCCCATTGATCCAAAGAAGAGATAAGAAATGGGATGAGGGATGCGGAGCGAATCACGGGAAAAATCCTTTAGTTTTTATGCTCACCCATAATTCCGCTATGCTGTACGTTTTACAGTAATATCCCTTTGATATCATTAATCTTGACACGC